TGTGAGGCATTATGCTTTTCTGTGAAAATGAACTAAAGCAGATCATCTTCTATCTATCTATATAAATAAAAATATAATGTTCGTTTGTTCCTACCGATTCCTTTGAAATTTTGACACAACGCTGCATTCAAATACGCACGTGTTTTTATATAATATACGTGTCGAAATTCCCCCCCACTGAAGGGAGATGGTTAGGATTAAGGCTTACTGTAAAGAACTCTGCTTCTATTTATACTATTTTAGATGCGGGTTTTTGCGTTTTAATAGGGTGCGTCAACAGAATGTACACTAAGAAGAAATTTTTTGCAAAATTCCCCCCCACGGGGAAGTGTTATAAATTTATAATAGATACATTTTGAGCCACAACAACGCGTGGCGGGGTCTGCTAGTAAATAATATAGTTGTACATAAAAAATATAACAATCTAAACATTTCAGCTCTATAAATTTAATCTTTAAATTAATTAATTTTTGTGAATTAACTCACATCTTGGCACACAGAGTATTAAGAGCTCACTTGGGACGTATATCTGCAAGATACGTAATGCAAATTAATGCAATTTTTATATTTTTATAGATATAATCATAGTCAAGCATATACATCTTCGATTTCTACATTTTCTCTACTATCTAACAGTATAAAATACTTGTGGGTTTTAAAAAATGAGATTTTTATGTATATTTTTTATAATTTGATCTTTAAATGTTAAAAACTAAACTTATCAAATTTCAACTCATTATAAATTATTTCAGCTTTGAGTTAAATTTCACAGGATTGTATTATCTTTCAAGTTCAAGGTAGTAAAGTTTTGTTTATTGTCAGCTGGTCTCCCACTGTGAACGTCAACAAACTGCTAATGGTTTTATTATTTTTCAAAAACTCCCTTTTCTGTCAGTAGTGGGTGAAATGACTAACAAATTGTTTTCTTTTAGATTTAAGAACTATTTTTTTTTGAGAGAAATAATTGTGCACATTTCAAAACTCAGGTACAGTACATAATTTCAAAAATAGACATTGCTTGAAATATTACACACAATATCAAAATTCATTGCTGATTGTTTACACAGGAATATTTTTTATATGGGAAATGAATCGCTTGAAAAAGTAATGCATGGACCACCAAGAATTCAGCAATTTCTACATGATGTCGAATGTGCAAATTTAAAGATTAATAATTTTAAAAACATTAACAAAATTACCAAATAAATAAATGTTTAGGTCATAATTACTAAATGGTATTGTTATGTAATGAACATAAATTTTAATTGTTGCAAAATTGAAAGTATTAACTTTCTTATCATGCTCTGTTATTGCCCAGCTTTCTCTAGTGAGAAAGCCAGGCGATAACACCAAATTGAGAAAATCACATTGTGAAAAATAGTTGCAATGGCCCGTTTGAAATGAATTGGGATTGATGTGGTCATTGAAACAAGGTAAAAAAGAGAAAGTGTAGCATTGTGGTAAAATTTAAATATACTACATTGTTATTTTATCAAATTGCGATTGTTATGTACAACAATTGAGTGTACAGCACTCTCACGCTGCAAGAGAATTTGCTGCAAATGGTAGTAAGGTATTGTTTTTTGTAAAATTTTTCTGAAAAAAGGGTCATAAACTTGAAAACACTCTAGGAATTGCTTCAGAACATATCAGTTGAGAAGTAATACAAAGTCTGCAGTTCAACTATTATTTATTTTTGAGAAATAGAAAAAAATGCCATGTATCTTCTGGATACATATGCCCCAAGATGAGGGTTAAGAAATTTGTTTCAAGTATCTATTTTAACAAAATTTTATAAAAATGTAACTATTTTTACAATCAATTATGTTTTTATAGACAATAGGAAAACAATTTCAATAATAAATTATAATAGTAGTAATAATAAAGTAAGAACAGAATATAATTTGATATTAACCATACAAAATAATACAACACATTTCTTAACATTTTTATACTTTATCTTTGCTTTCTCAAATTAAGTGAAACTTATGAATGACCTGTACTTTCTAAAAACATGCTAGAACAAAATACAATCCCATCAGCCTAAATATGATGCCATGCTCATTTCATGAACCCATATACAAGCTCTGAGTTTTAGGTGGTGTTGGCTTTACAATGTTCAGTTTGAATGATTATATTTTTAACTTAATTTTACTGAATACTATTTTCCCAATAAACAATCCATAATTTAATTAAATTGTAGAACATTCAGCATTTATTACTATTATTGTACATTAATAAAATGTATAATAATAATAAATGCTGAAATAGATTTGAAAAAAAAAATTAAACCAAAGAAAAAAAACACCACTAATACAAAATTCAATGATCATCTCCCATGTTCTAAATAGAATTAACAATTAGCTTTTAAATAATTTTTTGGGAGTCTACATAGAGAGAGATCTACCAAAAACTTGTCAACTTTCATGATACAAGTTTAACTGCCTATAAATTTATTTCTGTCCTATAGAAAAAAATAGTGGTATCTAATAACATCAATTAAAGTTTTGATTAATGCACAAAAGATGAATGGGAGATGATAAATGGCAAGATAATGTACTGTACAGTACATGTGCCTTTGATGTAATTTGCAGATGTATTATATATGGTCTTTGGGAGTAATTGCAATGGCAGATGAAAGTATCTGATGTGTTAAATTATATTATTTATTTAGTGTAGAATTTTATTAATAAATTTTAATATGTCAATATGTAGGGGAAGGTGGGGCAAGATGAGAACATTAAGGTTTGAAAAGTCATAAGATGACAACCACGTTGATGAGAACGATAATTTTTTTATTCTCAGCAACTACAACATTTGATAATATATAATACAAAATTTAATTTTTGAAAAACATTTTTAAAAACAAGAAAATTTAATATTTTAAAATTACATGTAAGTGAACCGTCTCGCCCCACCCATGGGGTAAGATGGGGATATTATCATAGGTCAACTATATTTCAAAACTAAACAATTACAGTCTTAAAGGTTACTTTGAATACCATTATATCTTCATCTAAAAGATAATGTAAAAGTTTACAACGATACTCACTTTGTAAAATTAGATGAAGTATTGCTAAAACATGGAAAACATTCTTACTTCCAAATAAAGAGAGAGATTAGGACATTTTCTTGTCCCATGATCTCTTTTGAGGTTGACGTTTAGTTCCCCAAATAACAGCTAGATGAAAGCACGTTAACCACGAATAAACAGACGTCCCCGTCTTACCCCATGGCCCCATCTTGCATCACTTTCCCCTATATATATATATATTCTGTTTATTCGTGGTTAACGTGCTTTCATCTAGCTGTTATTTGGGGAACTAAACGTCAACCTCAAAAGAGATCATGGGACAAGAAAATGTCCTAATCTCTCTCTTTATTTGGAAGTAAGAATGTTTTCCATGTTTTAGCAATACTTCATCTAATTTTACAAAGTGAGTATCGTTGTAAACTTTTACATTATCTTTTAGATGAAGATATAATGGTATTCAAAGTAACCTTTAAGACTGTAATTGTTTAGTTTTGAAATATAGTTGACCTATGATAATATCCCCATCTTACCCCATGGGTGGGGCGAGACGGTTCACTTACATGTAATTTTAAAATATTAAATTTTCTTGTTTTTAAAAATGTTTTTCAAAAATTAAATTTTGTATTATATATTGTCAAATGTTGTAGTTGCTGAGAATAAAAAAATTATCGTTCTCATCAACGTGGTTGTCATCTTATGACTTTTCAAACCTTAATGTTCTCATCTTGCCCCACCTTCCCCTACANTTGAATATTTTGATTTTAAATGAAAATTATAAATTAATCTTTAGGATAATTTAACCAAGAACAAACGTGATAAGAAAGAAAATAGTGAGAAAAAAATTACAGATTGTGGAAGAATTCCTGTTCAAAGTGATGTTAATACTGAAAATAAAAACTGTGTAAAACTAAAAATAAAAAGTGCTAAAACTCAATTCAAAGACAGCAAGGAAAATGCAATGGTTATCAAAGAAATTGCTGATAAAGTAAAGAATAATGAAGATTTATTAATAAGAAATGTGAATAAATCAGAAAATATAGAACTTGTAAGTAATGATGTAACTAAACTGGAAACTACTGTAATTACAGAACCACGTAATACAGAACATTTGAAACTGGCAATTGATAATTTAAAATCAATGCTAGAAGAAAAAGAAAAAATCCAAGAGGAACTACAAAGAAAGTTATTACTTGCTGAGGCACAACTTAAAGAAAACAAGAAAGAAAATACAGTAAATAAATTTTTTTTATTTAAAAGACATTTTATTTTTATAATCTATTTTATTCTGTATAAAATTCCTTTCTTATTATTTATATTTTAATTTAATATAATTCAAAATATGAATTGGTAGTAAATTTTTGTCACATAGTCATTAAAATAGCTTTATTTTGCCATAGTAAAAATTGGGCATTATTGTATAAAATGTAAAAGTCAAATATATTTGACTTTTATATAAAGACTGTACTAAAAGCAACAGCAGTTAATAATATGTCAATTTGACAGGACAGCTGTCATGAAAAGATTGATAATGTTTTAGTAAAGAGAGAAAAAACACTATCTTTATTAAAATAATGCTGTCAAGATTTGTTGATTTTTCCGAATGAGTAATGTTTCCCATTACTCATTCGGAAATATTATCAATTANCACTTATTTATCATCGCCCAGAGCAAACCGCTGAACCTAAAGAGGTGAAATTTGGTATACAGTTAGGGTATGTCATGGAAACGCACACTAAGAAGGGATTTTTCGAAATTTCCCCGCGGGGGAGCGGGAGAGAATTCAGGCTTAACTGGAAGAACGGCTTCTACTGTACTATTTTAGATGCGATTTTTTGTTTTTAACAACATTTAGTCTTCATTAAGTACTTAGATGTATTAAATTGATCACATTTCAGAGATTGTTATAAATATTTTCATATATTTTGATTTTTTAACCAAATGTTCAAACCATTTTAAATTCAAATTTTATTTTTTTTGCATATTGGTTCAATTATAGAATGATTGTAAACATTTCAGAAAGTTGATCAAATTGAAAACAGTTTGTTTGATTCTCAGCGGTAGGTGTTATATAACAATTAACTATGGTTGTTGAAATACTGAATATAAATAGGGTTTGCTTGCAAAACTCTGCAGCGAAGTCGCAGGTAACAGCTAGTTATATAATAAAATCGCGGTACAGAACTGTGGTACAGAATAAAAAAAGTACAGAACTGCAGCTCCCATGTATTTTGCAAAACCTACATTTCGGCTCCCACTGAACTCTTGCTTACCCACTCCTGGTATATAGAGTAGTTTCCATATATTAATAAAAAATTTTTGAAAATTCTTTTGATAAAGAAATATAAAAAAAAAATCATTTATAAAAAGTTTTGTTGAAACAGATAGTTCTTATAAATATTTCTGCATAGTTTTATTTATGAAAATGTTTTACAGGTTTATCGACTTCCCAGTAAAACATTTTTAAAATTTTACCGAGAAACTATAAAATTCATAAATTTATGATGACGATATAAAAATAATGTAAAGACATTGAATAAACTTTTATTATAAATTTATAATAAAAGAAAACTATTCACAAAATTACAAATCTCTTGTTTTAAATTACAGTGTTTATAAAAAATGATATACAGTCGACCCCCCCCTATAAGATCATAGATATGTTCCATTCTTTAGGAATCCGATTTCTTACGAGTCCTTCCAATCACAGCCCGACACGTGTGAAGTTTACGGACTACGGCTGATTGAAAGGTTTTCTTCCATAAAATTAGTCGATTCTAGACTAATCCGACTCAACATTTCCAAAATACGTATATTTTTTCGTAGTTTTATAGGAATCGTAATTATAGGGACCGTAATTATAGGGG